AGAAGAACCTGGAAATCTGGAACAACAGGCTAAATGAGAAAAACCTTAAAATCAACGAAGAAAAAACTAAAATTATGGTTGCGTCCAAAACAAAGAGAATTCTGAACATCGAATTAAATAAGAAACGAATAGAGCAAACTGACGTTTTTAAACATCTGGGAGTACAACTAAGGAGCAACGGGTGTCATCAAACAGAACTAAATGCGAGAATCGAGAGTGCCTCAAGACTATTTCACAGTTTAAAATTAAGCTTCATAGGAAAAATGCAAAAGCAAAACAACAATATACAAAACAATATTCATCCCAATTTTAATATTTGGAAATAAAGTACCTACGAAAGGTCCTTGGTATTACAGTTAGGGACAGATTCCGAAATGACGCGCTTAGAGAGAGATTGAAACCAGTTCTCAAACATAGTGAGAAATGCCAACTAGGATGGTACGGACACCTAAAAAAAATGGACAAAAAGAAACCAACAGAACTGATCTGGTAAGCGAGAAGATTCAGCCGAAGAAATAGAGGAAGACCGTAACTAACATGGCATCAAAACATAGCGAATATACTAAAATAAAGAAGAGTGGGGATAATGGAAGCAGCTAAAATGGCACTAGATAAGAAAAGATGGAGGAAATTTGTATACGAGTTGTAAACATTATTCAACCTTACACCTTAGGGTAGTTATTATGGCTTTCTGCCAAGTTAATTAATTAATTAATTAATGTCTGCCCAACGCATTCTGTTAAATCAATGGGTTTTACTTATTTTTGAAATTATACATATTTTCATTTCTAGAAAAGTTAGTATCGTAACATATTGTGCGCACTCATTTTAAAATTATATCCATTTTAAGCATAATTGACTTGATTTATCAAATACAGTCATTCAGGAACAGTGAATATAATTGACGTTTATTCGATGCTACGTTAGTGTTTTTTATATGTAGACTATATCTACATACATAAATAGTCGTTTCTGGTTCGGAACGAATGAACTAACCACAGAAATAATGACCAAGACCTATCTGATCTGATCTGATTTTAGAAGGTTAATTTTCATCGGTGGTTCTTCCGACCGCAATTTCTTGATTATTTTGATTAACTAATTTCAAGACTGGTTTTGACAGTCCAGAGCAGTGACTCAATGCGAGATCTGAGTTCACAAAATTACCCTATTTAATAAACTAATTATAATAAAAATAATACGAAATATAATTTTCTATGGGAGACCCCACATGTATAGATATTTTTCAAATGATAATAGCAATAACAATGCCTTAACCTGTATCAAAGTGATTGCAAGTAGAATACGCAAACAGAGTATAAGAATCGATTTTGTAAAGTCAGTATATCACTCTTTCAAAAAATGTTACATGATAAATCATAAAATCCTCAATACAATTCTTCATCATCTGCTGCTGCACTGCTTGCTGAGATGTTTCCGGTTCAAACAAAATATATACAGTGTGTCCCACTTAAAAACTGTATACTCTTATAAAATTTTTGTTTATAGTTCCATTTTGACATTTTTCTGTTGGACAGGTCTCTGAAAAATGCACCAAAACATTGTTTTGTTTATTTCTTCAACCTAAAGTCACGGCCAAGTGGGATTATTTAACAAAAGAGAAAGAAGAGGGAAGTACTATGAGGGATTTTTTAAATAATAAATTGGCATCGAATTCTTATTCAGGAGTTGCAATACAGTAAAATCTTCGATTACGGTTTGATATTGATAATTTCTTTTTGTTGTTGGACAGATCTCTCACCGCACTAAAACCTTATGTTTCTTCTAACTGGGACTAATTTTTGATGTCAAAAATGGAGAAGTTCTATTAGGGATTTGGTTAAGAATGAAGTGTCAACGAATTTTTATTCAGGACTACATAAAACCAAATTAAGGTGATCTTGTTTGTCCGGATAATGTCGAGTCGGTGCTTCTACCGGAAGTCACCGACCGACTAAACCCTTCCCTCTTTTACTCTTTTGTCTTCGTGGAACTGCTGACGGGCATTACTTCAAGAAGAAGGTCTCCGACTTACTGAAGTTCGGTGAGCTTGTATAAGATTTGGCCGTTCTATTCTTTTGGCAAAGAGTATTTGCTTTGTCATTTTGCAGACATGGTCCCAATTTGTACGCGACTCTAACATTTTTCCAATTAGATTGTATGGGCTTATGTGACCGAGTATTTGCTCAGCTACATTTCGCTGCATGTTCCATCTTGGGCAGAAAAATAGAATGTGTTCAATCGTATCCACGTTTAAGCAATAAAGGCACTCCTCGGTTTCGGCCAAATTAAAACCTTTGAAGTTGGCTTCAAAGCACCCGTACCCGGTGAGTATTTATGTCAGAAAGAAATCTACTTTACCAGAGTCTTGTCGTGTTTTGTGCTTCCTTTTTAGCCTCTGGTCCATCTTTGTCTATACAGGCTCTGCACTTAACTAGGAGATTAATAGGTGGGATCCTAGCTATCACCATAAGTGCCTGGTTGGAAGTTGTCCTGTATGCTCCAGAGACTCTTATGGCTACCCTCCTTTGAACGCTACTCAGTATCATTTTTCAAAGAAACTTCCACAGGCTACTGTAATGCTTTTTACAAAACTGCTGGATTCCTCACGCGTCGGTTTTTGCTTAGTCCAAATTGCCGACGTTTCGCCAATCATCCTGTTGGCTTCTTCAGAGTTTGACTGAAACTGGCTCGTATTTTACTCTGTACCTGCTTATATATTGTTTGAGGGGGGTGCTAATAAACACCGTCTCGGATGACTGATTCACAAATTGGACAGGTGAGTCGCGGTTAAGATTGTTAGGTTGTTTATAGATTTTCTATAGACTCTCGAATTTTTCGTTGGTAGAAGAACTGATTACATGCAACAATTTTAGTTTTATCGAATAAAATTTTTGATGTCCGGTTTCATGAGTGTGTTCGGCAACAGCTGATAATTTGCCCTAATCGTAAGGTTCTTTCGTGTTCTTTGAGTTCTTTGCCGCATTTGCATGGAATGCTGTAAACTCCCGGCATCTCTAATGGAATTTTGTCTTTGACGGACCGAAGATGTTGAGAGATTTTTGGACAAATTGTAAATCTGGTTTTGACGTTATGCTTCTTTAGAATTCTTGATATGCGGTCGGTGATGTTTTGAATGTAGTGGCAAGTGCAGGATTGCTTTCAGCCTCATTGCTATTAGAAGGTTGTGGTGAAGTGTATTTTTTGATGGAACGCTTAATATCTTTAATGTGGAAATTATTAGAGAGAAGAGGAGAGGTCAGGTGTTTTAATTCTATTTTCAGTGACTAATATTGTTCAAGGCCTTGTTGGCTTTTTCTGTTAAGGCTCTGACGTGGGCCCCCATGGATATGGTCCTCTCTAGTTTTATACTTAAATATCTGACTACTTCCTGACTTTGAGCTGTTGTGCTTTCCACTGGAAATTAAATGCTTTTAAACCTTTCTTCCAGCAACAAATAGGACTTCTCACTGCTGCCATATTTTTTATTATCATTCTTCCTTTTATAGCTAATATTATATCTTCGCAGCCTTTTACCGAGCATTGCAATTTTCTGTTTTAGATTATCCTTTAGTATTGCCATCTGTTCGTTGTAATCTGGACTACCAATACATATTTTTCTGTCCTTAAGGTATTTTTTACATTCCTTTTTTAATTTTTTACATTTGTTGCCTCTTTCCCACTCATATAGTTTTGTCAGTATGCTTCTGTGGTTTTTAATATTTTGTTCAATTCTGGTCTTCCACGTTGTTATAGCAGCAACATATACGAGGGCCTGGATATCGCTTAATGTGGCCACAGGGCTTAGTACTTTGGGTAGTTCATTATTAATAACTCCGAGGCAAAAGCTGATTTTCTTATTAGGTCGTATTTTAGGCAGCCAAGGGAGTCTTTCCGGATCTATTTTACTATAGTTAATCATATTTCCATTGAACATCTCTAATATTTCTGTTTTTTCTGTTTCAGGTTCGACTTCTGCGTTTCTGTTGCTGTGAGCAGTCAATTCTTCATCAGCCTCAGCGACCCCATCAGGTAAGTTATCGTTGTTAAAAATGATATTATCATTATCATATTCAGGTAAGTCATTATTATGTCCAATCAGCAATGTCTCAACCTCTTGCTTAATTTTTCCGATCTCCAGTGGTGACAAAAGTTTATGAGCCCTGATTGAGTTTAGTTGACCAGCTAGCTTTTGTTCTCCGAATTTTAAGTCTGGTCTAGCTCGGGCCCATTCAGTTACTAGTTTTTTTCTAAATCCCTGCTTTTCCCGTTCACCATTCGTACAGAGGAAGTACGCACGCATTAAATCAGTATTGTCTTGAGTAGACCATTTGTACCTGCGCGTTATGTTTCTGGCAATCTCTGGGGTGACTGCAGCTTCTTGCTGGGTCAAATCCTCTGAATGAGTCGCCGTTCTTCCTCTAGCCATTGTCGTTTGCCGTCTTGTGGTTCCGCTACCTGAAGCCGCGCCACTCGCCTCACGATTCTCCAGGCCAGGCTGAACCTCCGGACGGCTCCGAGAAGAGTCAGCCCGCAACTCTTCACCGCCCGAGTATCTATATTTCCTTGTCTGTACCATCACCAATTTTTGGGTATTGCAAAGTAAGCCTTTGCTGGCAGGCCTCCGATAGCCTTTATTCCCAGCCGCCTCTGACATGAGGTACAGACGCTGTTGGACGGCCGCTCTTCTAGAGACAGACGCCATCCCCGCGGAGCTCTCATACGCCCCAATCACGGTGACCGGGCCAGTGGAATCTCCGCGGTCCCTTTAAGGCAGGGGCTACCAACTGAGGTAGGTGGGGTCGTTGCTCCCCAAAGCACTAGCATGCCTCAGCTAGAGCTCCTCTGCCTTATTATTATTATTATTAATGTTATTGTTATCATTATTAATATTATTATTTTTAAAAAATAACTTAAGAAAGTCATAAATCACTTTACTTTTCGTCTTCGTTTGGTTTATTACTTACAGCAACCTATAACTCTAGAACAAAACGATTAAGGTTTAATAAAATTATATTTGCTTTAAGGTTATAATAATACTATGAGGACAACTTTAAACCAATAACATATATTTTACACTATGTACACTTTAAGAGTATCTCTATAATACATAACAAAGCTAATATTACATACGTTGAAATCAATCGTAAGTTTCAAAAGTGTCACATATCAATATTTTCAATATGAAAACCTTAGTAATAAATAAGTTTCCGCCTAGATGTATTCGGAAATGAAAATTTTCTTAAAATCCGGCACACTGCTCCCGCCAAGTCTCTCATCGTCTTTATTGTGCTTCAGGTCAGCACTATACATCTGCGTTGTATCTAGTTCAGGTAAATACTCGACCGATTTAATCTTCTTTTCTTCCAACTTGGAGTTGCTTCTGCCGACAGCTTTTTTCCCTTTCCTCTTTCTCCGTCTGTCTTCCAATGTCGTGTACGAATTGGACCGTTGCAAAATCACGATTTTGGTAACATTCCGATCGTTTGTGATGTCATTCAAGTCCTTGGACGTTTCCTCCACGTACGCTTGGAAATTCTCCAATGACCTCTTCGAATTGGTCCTCGTAATTCTGACATTGGAGACTTGCTTCACCTTGTTGATCTGTTGCTTCGGTTGCGGCTTAAAAGTGCTCATTTGAGACTGTTCGTAGTAATCGTAATACTGCTGATCGTGGTTCTTGATGTCCAAGTGATCGATTTCGCGGCTCTGAAAGAACTCAAAGTCGCAGTTCGCTTCGGTGGTGATCGAGTTGCACGAACTCAACGAGTCGTACTCTTTGGTCGGTTGGTTTTCGACGAAACAGTCTTCGTCGTCCGACGAGTATTGTTGGGCGTCGACCTTCTCACGTTGGATTTGATTTGGGCCATCGCTAAATTTCTGTGGACTCGGTATGATATTCAAGTGGTCTACTTGGAGGCCCGCAAGCGAATCTTCGCTTCGACTGAGCCGCATCTTGTTTAGCCTAAAAAAAAAATAGCCCATTTTGTAGCAAAATAGAAAGCGAGAAATATGTTGTTGTCTTCCTTCGAATGGCTTTTAATGCGCATTTGTTCGGAAACAAGTGAGATTTGACAAAGGAAAACGAGAGAGCCAGTTGAACTGGAAATAGTAAAGGATATCTGTAAGTGAGTTATTCTACAAGGGCTACCTCTTATATTTCGGGATTTGTAATAAAAAACTATAAGCTACCGACAAATATGACTTACTTTATTGTTTCTCAAAATATTCACCCTGATGATCAATACACTTTTGCATTCGATAAAACCAATCATCAAAACACTTTTCCCACATCGATTCGGGCACCTCCAAAACATGCTTTTGGTGCTAAATCAGGCCTATATGGTGGATAGCTCATCGAATCAACGTTTTTAATGCTCGAAAGTTCTGCACTGATCGGTGAGAGCTAGCATTGTCGTCGTGGAGAGTGATTCGTCTTCGGCTGTTGGTTTTTCTAATTTCTTCGAAGACTTTCGGCAAACAAATGGTTGTGTACCATTCAGAATTGACTGTTTTACCTTTCACCAAAAAATCAGTTGCAACGTGGCCAGTTTTCCTGAAAAAACAGGCTACCATTTGTTTCGAGGTGCTTTGCGCACTAAAAACTTTTGTGGGCTTTGTTTCATTCTGAAAGACCCACACAGTCGACTGCTGATTACTTTCAGCTTCATATGTATAGATCCATGATATCATAGACGTATTTGAAAGCACCGCGGTCGTATTTTTTTAGTATTTCCTTCGATCAATCAATACGAGCCTTTTTTGAGCTGATGTCAAATTGTGTGGAATCCAACACGAACAAATTTTTTTAGAGGCCAAATGTTCATGCAAAATTGTATGTATGCTGGTCCCTTTAATGCCCAAAGAAGAATGGTAAGTCACATGAAGATCCTACAAAATCAGTTTCTGCACTGCATCAATGTTTTCTTGGACAACCACCGATTTTGGACGACCTTCACGAAATAAACAGTATTGCTAGATGGTGCTTTAACTCCAAAAGTCGAATTAAGTTCATCGATGAATTGTTGTTGAGTTAATCCACGTCTAAAGATGTAAAAAAGTTTGCAGGGAAATGCTCCCGATTAAGTTCCATTTTTAACCGTCACAGTTTTATTAATTTATCACAAAAAACACAAACAACATTCTTTCGCCAAAACCTAAATAAGTAAACCTAACCTCAAAATGTCAAACTTCACTATAAAAACGTTAGTCACCAGATGGCAGAACGAGTTTAAGAAAATCCCGAAATATAAAAGGCACTCCTCGTATAAACGACGAAAGACAATTTCATCGGTATATTACTTTCTAGTGAAGACAATATATTCACAATTTTCCATGTATTAATTAAAGACAATTAATAATTTTGTGGTCTCAAGCAAACAGCACGGCTGATACATATATCCGATAAAGATGGACGAATGAATTTGTAATGTCGCCTTTAACTTTTGTCACGTTGACAGATTACATTTTCTTAAAGCTAGAAAGTATAAAGTTTGTGATAGAGCTGATAATGTCACATCGCCCACAAATCACTGAAACAGGTTCAGAAAATGCGTGTGTGAAATTCTACAGGGTGAGTTCAACGATCGAGCAAAATTGGTTTTAAAAGTTATGAGAAAATGGCAAATAAAGTTTAAACACGAAACTAGATATAAGAATAAAATATTACAGAATAATCACTATTATAAAAGCATATTTTTTTAATACAATAATTAGCACAGTGTAGGTGTTCGAGCTTTGCGGTGTCGGCCGATCTCAAAACCTCTTTTTTTTTTTCAGATTCATGATGGGGATGTCAACGATTAGGATACGTGTATAAAAACGAGCTTCTAAGAAATTTCCGTTTGCATGGATTCAAACCCTTATTACTGACTAAATAATGAATTTTTTATTACATTTTTTGTACAGGGTTTCCAAAGTTCTGAGAAAATTGTAAATAAAAAATTGTAAGGATTCTTAGGATGCACAACGGAAAATTATTTGAAAATATATAGGGTGACTCAAAAAAATCGTGCAGCTTTTTTTAAATTAATAATAATACGTACGTAAACCTAATTGTTTTTCCCATATTTTAATCTTAATTAAAAAAATACTAATTTTCACACTTGATGTGACGTAAAATCAACTAATACATTTGGATCATTTTAAATTGAAAAATCTCCAGCTTCTTAAATGGTGCACCATATGTATTATCATTTTTCCTGAAAGACCTTACAACAAACTTTTTTTAAATGGGAACTCACTTTATTGGAGCCGTAGCTAAAGCTTTAGAAATTTGGGTAAAAATAAAGGCCAAATTTTAAATTCACAGAAAGAATAATTTGTTATTAATGAGTTGAAGAATTAAAAAAAAAGTCAAAACAAAGTATAAAAATAGTTCCATTTATGTTCCATTTAAAAAAATGCAGGTTTTATTGGTCACGCTTTTTTGCCCCTCCCTGTAAACTTTAAAATAATTTTAAATTGTGCATTCTAATAACCTTCACAACTTTTGTATTTGCCATTTTCTCATAACTTTTGAAACCAATGAGACCAAGAACTTTGCTCTATAGTTGATTTACCCTGTGTTTTGGATTCACACTAACTAAGTAATGTCAAATGAAGTAGTAATAAGTAATGCCGTGTGACAGAAGGCCACTGACATTGCCTCAAATTTTATTTTTTTAGTTGGAAATCGAAAGTATTATTAAAAAAAATGAAGGAGACAAAAGTTTCAAAATAAAACAGAAAACAAGGAAATATTTTTGTCATTAGTTAATGTAGGGGTAATTTAATTCACTCCCCTCCACTCGTTTAAAAAGAGAAGAAAAATATGCTGACGTTTTTATAATAGTAATACTTGTGTGATATTTTATTGCTCTATTTTTGTTTATATAATCAAACATAAAAACATTATTTTCTGCCATATTTGTAGGGCAACATCTCTCCTTGACAAACCCATGAAATTTAAAACTTAAAAGTATTTAATTAATTAATAAGTGCCTTCTGCCAAATTTCAACTCTATCACAAAAAAATAATACCAAAGCGAAGTTTAATTTTAACTTTTAAAAATTAACAATGATCTTTATGAAAGCGCAGAATTGGAAAATTAAACCGTGCCTATATCGACAATTGCTTTTGTCCTCTTTTATAGATTACATCTAATTATATCACTTACCTAATTAAGTTTCTCGAATTCCGAATCATGTTGCAATTGTCGTCCAGATTGAAATTGGTCACGTTCATCTCTGACTTGTGGCTAAACAGGTCCATTTTGTTGCCCTTCACTCCTCCATCGCTATAAAACAAATGATTGATACTCTCCTGACTTTGGCTTAGTCTTTTATTAGCCATGTTCCCGTGTTTTTGTCTGTTAGCGTTTTCCAAAATTCCATTGGAACTGTGCAAAATACTATTACGGTGGTGGAGCATTCTGTTGCCCATGAAAACGCAATTTTGAGGATTCTGCATGGCCCCGTATCCACCATCTAGGTTTCGTTTCTCGTTGTTTGGATATATGTTGTTTTGAGAAGCTTGAAGTAAACTCAGCTTCCTACTGACATATTGTGGGCTCAGATGGTGCAGGTCCGAGTGAGACGGGCATTGGTCGGCTTCGCAGTTAGAGCAGGAAGGATATTTTTCCGGTGGCAACGCGTCGAGGTCGCGCCTGTTTATGTATGATGAGTGTAATGCCACGTTGGATGATTGAAGGTCTTGTTTCCCGGATCCTGAAATAGACACGTATTATATGGCGGATGCGCCGGACCTAAAGAACTGACCAGTCATTCTAAATTCCTTATGTCTTCGGTAGTTGTGGATAACTGGAAGGCGTCCGTCGATGCTGGTGTACAAGGAGCCGTTGGTGATCGGAAATCGATGTTCGATAGCTTGGAAAGTTTTATTACGATCCTGCTGTGGGACCTCCAGAGTTTGAGGTTGGCTTAAAAGACCGAAGGGTCGGAACTTTCCGTCTAAACCCACTGGAAACAGTGGAAACGTGAAAATCTCGATCCGTTATCGAAAATGTTGTTACCTTGAGGAAGTTTTTCTTCTGTGTGTTTGCCCGAGCAACGGTAAACGTTCGTTACCCAACCGCAGAAACGGGAATCGACAATACCTAGTCCGATTGGGATGAGTAGGTCCTGTACCAGGCCAAGCCATAGGGCTATCCCGGCGACCGGCCAGGGCTGGATTAGGTTGGGATAGACACATAAAACCTAGAAGGCAAAAACCAATATTATTTGGTCATCCAACAGAATAAAAAGAAAATCACAAGTTTTGCAATATTGGCCCCCCAAAATTCTTTCCGCAGTTCTAACTATGATGTTCCTTTAACCCTAAACAAGTTTTTGCACATTATTTTACATAAAAACATATAAAAGTAAGTTATAAATGCTACTCTTGCTTATATTTGAGGAAACAACCTCCTTTATTAACAAATTTATTTTTTCTTACAACTCAAAGTTAAATGTGAGGTATACTAACAATTCAAGAAAAAAAAAACATCTTCGGTCGAGTCAGATAACACTTAAAAGTTCCATTAATCATTAAATAAGTGAAAATATATTAAAGTTCACTCTCAAAAAAACTTTCTTTGACAAGAACGTAATTTGAAGAATTTTCAGCCCGAGCCTCTTTAGCTCAGTGGCAGAGCACTGGTCTTGTAAACCAGGGGTCGTGAGTTCAATCCTCACAGGAGGCAGTAGTAGACGTCCCTCACTTTTTTTTTAATTAAAAAAAAATAAATCTCTTTAAACTGCTACGCGATCTTTATCAATAACATTTGAATCTGACTCCTTTAATTATCAAAGCAATAATGTACAATTAAATTCGCATTATGTAACGAGAATTAATTCTAATCGCGGCTGCAATGTCGACTGACAAGGACGAAACGAAAAAAGACGCGCAGCTAAAAATGGCAGATTGCCATGTACGACACCAGGTGCGTGTCGATAATACGACTTGAGGAATTTATGGAAAACAGTGCAAGTCGCGATTGCAAACCGATTAAACGTTTTGCGATAATGCAATTTTCACTCCTGGAAAATTAATTAACAAAACGAGTATTTTTAGTTCAGTTTTGCTCAATTTCCCGTAATTTTTGGCTGTCCTCTAACCATTCTGAAAAAGTCACTAGCAATAGCTCACAATTAAAAGGCTCGTCTGTTAGGTAGATATACTTGATAGAGCTTGAATTTCTTTTTACATTTTTCTGATAATTTTGCGTAGAGGAATAGTTCGATTTGCAATCCTCTACGATTCGAAACTTTACTTTGCATTCTCTTTCACATTGAGGCTAATAATCATAATTTGACATTCTCGAATAATAAAACAGAGCCTTGAAAGTACTCTACAAAAAATTATGCAAAATGCAATTACATTAAATTATAATACAATTGGCACAAACGTTACTGATTTGGCATTTGCCTTGGTGAAGAATATCGGAGAACAGGCGTTATTGTGTTTTCCTTTGATTAGAAAGGCAATCAGTCTCAGAGTCACGTGAGATAAATTATCAAAAATTGGTAGTATAGCGGAAATTACAAAGAATCCAGATGGCTTTTCAATATATAAAAAAAACAAATCTTCTGGCGAATTCAACATATTTTTTACTACAGTAGTGCATAAAATATTAGAAACTTTGCATGAAATGCCTGCTAGGTTATCTGAGTTGATGCATAACTAAATGCTCTTTCAAATTTTCCCTGGTTTCTTCACTTGAGGTCGAGCAGGTCATAATGTCTTTCAATAATTCAAAAGCTCTAGACTTTTATTGTTTGAACAGTAGGATTATTAAAGAATGCTGCAATGTAATAGTTTTACCATTAACCCAATAACCCAATAGTTTCAAAAGTTTTTGGATACACTTTTAATGTAGCACAGAATATCCCGAATACCTTGTACGATATGAGAAAACCTTAAATACAAAAGTTTCAGCTGTCCATAAGTGCTATATAGCCGTGTAAGAGAAACTGGAAACTGGGAATACAGGACACACCCTGTACACTTTAAAAAATTATAAAGAATAAATGTAAAAGAATTTTTGCGATGGCATAAACGGTTTTCGACAATTGCCTTTTTTCTTAGACCCTCGCGAATACGATTGTTTCTTAAAAATACTTCCCGGCCCCCAAAATTCAAGTCGACTGCTTCAAATTTCGGACACTCATCGTGTTTCATAGAAATGTCCAAAAACCGTCGAAAACTGAAAAAAAAAAGTTCTATCCAGGCCACTTTCACACATCTTATGCAGTCCGTGGTCTGTAAAATGGGACCATCTAGCTCAAAACGTTCGTAAGTTATCCTCACACAAGGTCAAAAGGAGGTTTAAATGTTGCATTAACAATGGAATAAATAAATAAAATTTTTTTTTAAAAAAAATTAAAATTTCAAAACAAAGAGGGTGTTTTTTAAAAAAAATAAACGTATTTGATTTGATTTTAAGTGCACGATATACCGTGTTCGTAGTTATTCGTATATACGAAAAATTTTCGCAAGGCTGTTTTAATTTGCTGGTTCGATAAAGGCGTTCAATGCTTGCCGTAAACGGCGTATAAGCGACCGATTAAAATATCTTATAACAATAAGCGTAGACGGTTGTAACGGGCGGTCGTTTGTCAATCAATAATTTGTACCAGTCCGATACCGAACCTTTGAAGAAATGAATTTCGCAAGCGGATTTATAGGCGCAAGTATTTTGCGATAGCAAAAGCCTGCCACAGTATGTCCCTCTTTGTTTCGCATATTGCAAATGGTCGTAAACTAACGTTGCGTTTTTCAAACCGATCATGGGGCACCGAGCTTTTCTAACATTCCATAGAAAGCGACAATAATAATAATATTAGTAATAATGTTTATTAGTTTTACTCAATTAATCACAAACACGGGATCGTCAGGGAGGGCCTAGGTGTTTGACACTAATAAATTTTACTTAATATTACTAAAAACTTTAATACAATATAATACATAACATTTTGAAATAATCATATTTAAGTAAATAAAAAATAATAATATGGAGTGTCCCAAAAGTAACGATTTAACAAAATAAAAGTTATTTATTTAATACAGATTAAAACAAAATAACGAAAGAAATGAAATAGAGCAATAACAAGGTTTTTATTTATCTAAACTATCATTCAGTTAAGCACTTTGGTCTGTTCTTGTAACAATTTTTGCATTAGTTATAGCTCTAAAACAGCTGAACCATTGGTTTGCAATAAGAGTGTTCATTTAAGGTTTTGATTTATAGTTAGTCTTCGTGTCAAAAGAGCATGAAAATCCATAGTAAACAAAGGTTATGACAATACCTTTCGCAATTGAAATGCCAAAAATAATAACAATGTCTTACATGAATCAAACTTAAGTTACACTATCGTTCTATAAAAAAAAGACAACAAGTTGATATGTTAATAGGTCAAAACTTATAACGAAAAACATTTTTCTCCGTTTTTTGCCCGCCCGGTAAGTTTTTTAAAGATTATTTTTAGAAAGATTGTGCCTTACAGCTTTACAGGTAAGTACACTGACATCTTTGAAAAATTACTTCAGGTGTTATCTAGACTTGAAAGAAAATGATTCCGCGGTATTAAAAGTTGCATCATTGTTTTTCAAAAAGTTATTCAATTGTTAATCAACGTTTTTTTTGTTTTTATTGTCATAAAAGACCGTAAAAAAATTTAAATAATTTTGATTTTTCCTTTCTTGAAGCCCTTTTTATTAGTCTACTTAAGATGATGACATCGCGAAACTTACAAAAATTATTTTATTTCCTTAATTATGAACTTTTAAATGAAAAAAAAATGATTAATTAAGATTATGTTGCTTAAATAATATTATTTTATTAATTTTAAACTATTCATCTTAGTATTAGGCATCTTATTATTATTCTTTTAATTTTTTCTTGCCCTTTGTTTAAAAACTGTTTATAAACAAATAGATTAATTTACTATTTAAAAATGTTTTTTTTTTCAATATTGCTAACTTAAGGAAATAATGATTTAAAAAAACAATTCTTTACAAAAATATCTTATTATAATTATAATTATTATAATCCCTATTTTATATTTTTATTATTTAAATAAATTTTTAAGAAATCTTGTTTTTTTTTAAACCAAAACTACATAATATTTGTTTATTGCTTCGAGGCTTACAGAATAAATTTTTGATTTTGAAATGTTTTTTAAAAGGAGATAATGTCATTTGTTTTTTACACTTATTTGTTATCACATTTCCCTTTTGAAGAATGTTTTGTAGTTCGGTTTTGTTTCATTTTCAAAAAATAATTGCGACTCCGTAAACAGCTGTACAGAAGAGTAATTTCTAGTTTTTGGAAAACTGTTTTTAGGAAATCCCCATCCCAAAATACCAAGGCTTATCTTGCCGGAATCCATATTGATTTTCATTTAAAATTTGGTTTTTCTCTAGGAACTGGACTAATCTGGATAAGTACCTTCTCGAAACTTTTGGCTACGTTGTTATGGAAGGTTTTTGTAGGCCTTTTAAAATGGCGATTATTTATTCGAATGTGATTTTTTATAATTGTTGTTTTCTGTTTATTAGATTTATACTTCTGTAGTTTTGCAAGTTTTTCCCGCACGTTTGAGAAATAGTTGATAAAAGTTTCTGCAATTTGAAAGTAATTTTTCGTTGTTACGTCCTCTGCAGTTTTTATTTGTATAATTTTGTTTGTTCTATTTACTTATTACTTATTATATGTTAGATTTGTTTTGATCAGTTCAACTGTCGTCATAAAGTTTGTGTAGTGTCCTTTAGAATATTTATATCAGTGATAACTAACAAAAAAAATTGTATCGTAAGCATAGTTCGTTCGTAAGCAGACGCTCGAGCGAACATCCCTAAAAGCGGTATAGACCATAACAACCCTACAGAGTATCTATTAATACCATAATATACAGGGTGTTCCATTTAAAAATATATAACTTTGATTTCCCACATATTTATGAATCAGCCTGTATATTTAAAAATAATTTTAAATTGTTTTTTTTAATTTCATCCACAACTTTTCTATTTAACATTTTTCTCTAAAAGCAATAATAAACGAGATATATTCCTTTGTCACGCTATTTGAGATATTATTTATATGTTACGCGAAGTCAATATACGTAGTCCCCCGTAGTCGCTAGGTGGCACCACCGCTTTAAAGCAGAGGCAAAAAACTGTGGAATAACTTACCATACCTGGTATACTCGCCATCTAT